TACTTTCGCTATTTCTTGGAAGGACGACAATTTTAAATGTTCACCGATCACAAGCCTTTGATCNGTACTTATGATCGGGAATTGCTTGCAATCTACTCCGCAGTAAAATACTTTCGCTATTTCTTGGAAGGACGACAATTTTAAATGTTCACCGATCACAAGCCTTTGATCTACGCATTTCAGCAAAATTTAAATAAAGCATCTCCACGTCAATGTAGACAACTGGATTTTATTTCACAATTTTCAACAGATATTGTTCATATATCTGGCGTAGATAACGTTGTCGCTGACGCTCTATCCAGGGTCGAATCCATTGATTATGAGGAGTTGGCACGAGTCCAAAAAGAGGACGTTGAGCTGCAAAGTTTGCTGGAGACTGAAGGAAGTTGCTTATTGAAAATAATCAATCTACCGGACAGTGATATTCAAATTTTCTGTGAAGTATCATCAGGTGTAGCACGACCGTATGTAGTACATACTATGTACCACTTAAATTTCGTAAAGTAACATCCTGGCATTCGTTCTACTAAAAAGCTAATCACGAAGAAAAATTTCTGGCCTTGGAGCCGTCCGTCGTCCGGCACGAAGCGCCAATCGCGACTGTGTAAGCCACTGTTTAATATTCTGACAGCGGCATAATCTCCCCAGAATACTAAAAGTGCAACATCAAAGAATTGAAATTACCATATTTGAAGCAATCGAGCCATAACCGCGAAAGAGACGTAAGCTCGAAATGTTTTTATTTGGCGTTTTTAATCAAAATTCCATAATTTTTCCACAAACTAATAGCTTCTTCATATCTATCTATTGTAAATGGTACCGCAAAGAGTTTACAAGGCAAACAAACACACCAAAAAAGTAGCTCAAAGTGGACCATCCATTCTCGAGTTATGCCCCGTCTGACGTACGCAACTTTCATATATACATACACACAATTCGTTTTTGTTTTAAACTACCACTATGCACTGTTATCCCAACCTTTTTGCGGTATTTAGCTACTATTTTAGGAAGTGTGATGGAATTCTTCCCCTTTTTCCTGCTTCCAAAAACCATCCCTGTGGGTGGGAGTGTTAAATTTTAGAAAAAGCTACTTACAAAACCTTTCATTATTGAATCATGGGTTAGAGGTTTAAAAATATTTTGTGTCAGCAATTTTTCATCAAACTGCATGAAAAAAATGTGTTTTCGAACCTTTGCACAGGTGTACCGAATTCTTGCAGTTTGGAAACGCGCAAGACTTTTCTTTTAATATTTTCATCCAACTTTACTAACTTAATTTTTTTTTACCTTTTCAAGAAACAAAAATTTTGCTGCTAGTGAATCTGGTACCATGATTTTAGTTTTTTTTTTTTTTTTTTAAGTTTTATCGTTTTATTGACATGTACTTTTAAGCTGAATAGAAAGTGGCCCCAGCGCCAATTAGGCATTATTGAGGCATGCTGGCAGTTTCAATATCATGTACGTTTATAATTCTTGAATTTAAAATTAACAAATATTAAGGGAAAAAATTTAAAGAAATTTACAATAATTGTTTCATATAATTTTTACATACGTTTTTTACATAAGAAGCGCTTCTAAATTGTCTCT